TCCAGTGCCTCACCACCCTCTCTGTGAAGAATTTCTTCCTGACATCTAATCTAAACCTCCCTGATTTCAATTTATACCCATTACCCCTTGTCCTATCGCTACAGGCTCTTGTAAAAAGTCCTCTCCCAGCCCCCTTGTAGCCCCTTCAGATACTGGAAAGCTGCAATGAGGTCTCCTTGGAGCCTCCTCTTCTCCAGGCTGAACAAGCCCAATTCTCGCAGCCTTTCGTCATAGGCGAGGTGCTCCAGCCCTCTGATCATCTTCGTGGCCTCCTCTGGACTCGCTCCAAGTGGTCGATATCCTTCTGATGTTGAGGGCTCCACAGCTGGACGCAGCACTCCAGGTGGGGTCTCACCAGAGCAGAGTAGAGGGGCAGAATCACCTCCCTCGACCTGCTGGCCACACTTCTCAAGGCACCTTTCCCAAGACGCAAAGACACACAAATGAAAGAAGAAAACCAAGCTCGCTGAAGCCAGGCACGCTCAGCTGCTTTAAATACAGACCGTGTGTGTAGTTTTCCTGTATCCCAGTATGGTTCGTACCCCTGCCTCTGCCTGGTTCTAGAGCCTTGACTCACCACTGGCATTACCAAAGACTTCCTTAGCAAAACCATCCCTATACTTGCATGTGTTTCTGCCACCAGACACGAGCAGAGCCATCAGTCCGAGCGGTGAGGAGTTTCGTGGCACAGGCTGTCCTCTTGCCTGTTTAGCAAACAGGACTCATCTAGCAGATGCTTCCCTGGATGTTATCATTTCAGGCTGAGGGGGGAGCAGAGAGGATAACACTGGTGGTATTATCCAAGTGGTGGTATTATCCACATCGGTAGGTGTTAGAACAGCCCTTGGCACACAAGAAAATCCAGGTGCAGATCTCTAGGGTACATAACAAAAGCATAACCCAAATTTTCCATTGCATAATGAATATTTAAAGCAGAACCACGGCAGTGACAGACAGAAAGTTCCACTGTGGGTGTTTAACTTCTCAAAACTTAAGTCCCAGTTCCCTGCAGCACCCAGTGATCAGCTCAGTTGCTTTCCCTTTTAGCATGCTAGCTTTGGCTTGGGAGCATCTGAGCTTCCCCTTCGCCAAGAGCTATGTTTGGCATGGATCTGCCCAAAGTGACCCTGGGGTAGAAAGACAAGGGGAAGACTATCATGAAAGTCAGCACAGAGATCATATCAGTCAGTAAAGATGCTCACTCCAGCAAGAAATCTGTTTGCAACCCATTGCTTCTGCCACTCCAAGCAAGAAATTGCATCGTCTGCATTTTCACAGCCAAAAGCTTTCTGCTTCGGCTGCAGCAGATAGGCAGTGAAGCAAGTCGTGGGACACAGGAGAAACCTCTGGGGGTTGACTAGGATGGATCACAGTAGCTCCAATCCCAGGACACCTCCTAACCCCACTGCACAACCTGCTGTGCAAGGTATCACGTGACATATTTCCACCTTGCTCCCGGGGTTTACACCATCCCCGGCAAGAGCATCACAGCTGCAGATAACAAAGAAGCAAGGCAATCCGTGTTTTCTGCTTGGTACTCACCCTACAGCGCCCCAGCCGTGAACTCTTAACCCTGAACCGGTTCCAGATTGTGAGCCTCTACAGCAGACAAGTCTTAGGCAGTAAACCCACTTTTCAGACAACGGTGTCTATTGAGCTGCTCCCCTGGCTGCTTCGCTGCGATTCACTCTGCCCACCTGCCGCGCGTCTGTCTACTCACATGTGTATCGGCAGCATGCTCCTCACCTGCGGCAGGGAGAGAAAGCAGCATCCATTTGAAAAGACAGAGGCCACGTGATGCAGTGAGAAGACCCAAGGATACCTCCATGTGCCTCTTCAGCCTGTTTTACAGGAACACTGGATTTGCCAGCATTTCCTGAGAACTGAAAGAACTCTAGCCCTCCGAGAGCGGAAGCAAGGGTGCTTCCAGACAAATGTTTGGTTTTGGGCAAAGGCTCCAGACCGGTTTCTACTATTTCTGCCTCCTGCTTACTCACTGGAGCAAGGGGCACCGCGGCCACAAGCCAGGGCAGAGCTCCTTTGTGCAACACATGTGCACATGGAGAGTGGGATCTTCCTACCTGATGCTTTCAGGCGCTCCAGGGAACAGCAGCCGGGGCAGGTTCCTCTCACTGCTGGAGCCCCGGCTCTCCGAGGGTGACGTTGGGCTGGGACTGCAGCTCCCGACTGCCAACACGGGCTGTCCCAGTGGACCAGCTCCCTTTAACACAGCGCAGAAGGCAGCTGCAGGATGCTTCTAGCATCCTTTAAAAATAGATCCCAGCATCACCTGCACAGGGCTAAACTGTGTTGTTGCAACCTTAACACACAGTGAAATCAGTTCATTTTAAAATTAAACTTGCTGATGTAACAAATAGCGTGATGCTGAGGTGGGTAGATATACAGTAAGAAAAATCCCAAATGACACTTCTTATTTTAACAGTAAACTTCTCTGTCTTTCACAGTAACATTCCAAATGGGCACTGGAGGGTCCTACAGCTAAACGCCGGCAAAGATGTCTTGGGAGGGATTAATGTAAAATGAAGGCATGGCCAGTCACCCTCCCTCACAACATCCCTTTCACTTCCATACACACCCAACCCAGATGTGTTTGCTGCTAGTTTGGTCATCATGGATTAAAAAAAGACAGCGAGATGAAGACTGGTCGAGCCAGTAGTAGATCTCTGTTAATTCGTGCCAGGCGGCAGCAGGGGCAACAGCCCAGTTGCTGGCTGCTCTTCGAACAAACCAAAGCCATCATTCCAGCAAGGAGGTTACCACAGACCCCTGCCATAAAAGGAGTAGATTGCTCTTAAAATCTTACTGATGTGATGGCAAATGTAAGAATGACTAAATAAGAAACAGCTCACTTGGCTGATTTTGTATGTTGGCCCCTACTGTTACTGAAAAAAAAAAATCCCTCTTAACAACCCAGAGAAAAATAAAAACCATCTGAGTATCTTTTCTTAGATGGCTAGTTTTCACATTCCCCTTCAAGACGGTCTGGTTTGCTGTTGGTTCCCCTCTTGGCCTGAAACTGGCCCTGAGGTACCGAACTGGGGATGAGGGACAAGTGTAGGTTGCTGCTAAACCTTCAGCTGGAAAACCACCCTCACAGAGATGGAGTTTGCACCTCCCTAAATAGCAGGCTGGTATTCAAGCAGAAAAAAATGAAAAAGTGGCTTTCATAAGCTACCAATGGCAAACCGGTGTATGCTAGCAGGCTGAGTCTGGCCTTAGTGTAATTGAAGTGGAATCAGATACAGTTTTTCAGAGCCAAAATCTCGCTAACAAGCCTGCTTTGGAGACCCATCAAGTTTATAACAAAGCAGCAGCCTCCAATGTGCGGGAGGGTACGACGCCTCACAGGTTTTTTTCCATAGGGAAAATGATGTTGGAGAAAGAAGGAGAACAACATCATTTTGAACTTCTGAGGAAGTTCTTCTTGCCTCTCCCTCACAAATCACCACACCTTTGGGGACATTTGATGTGATCAGAAAGAGCGGATGTTCTTAAAAATAAGGAATCTTAGATTTACGGTCTGGAGGTATATCAGGTATTTCCCAACTCCTTTGAAAAAGGGTAAGAAAGGTAACTTGCTTCCACCTTTTCTGTCTTTAGTTTCACACATACGTGTCCAAACAGAGGCAGAGTCTGCTATGCAAAAGTTGAAAGTTTAAGGTTTCTTAGAAAAATACTTGATCTTTGATAGCATTGCATATTTTAGTCATCCGGTTAAAATGTTTCTTAGCAGTTTTATTCAAATTCATGATTTGTTAATAACTTCTTCATGCCATCTTTGTAGTTATCATACTTGTACACGGAGAATAAGCACCCGTGATGGAAGGGTATCTTACTGAGACACAGAGAGCCTGTTCAGGAAACATCACCTGCTTGTATGGGAAAGTCACAGAAGCGATGCCATGATTTTACAGCTTCAGCAGATGTCCCAAGTTCCCTCTTTCTCCCCTGGGGATGTGCGAAGAAGAGAAATCCAAAAGTCATCAACTAAATGGGCCACAAACCAAGCCTTATAATCATGAGCAGTTTCACTGGCATCACCTCTACTCTAAATGATGCACTGTTACTCCTTCCGCTGCCACACGTGCAGATTCAAGAAGCTCTAATCGAATCGTTTGTTTTCAATGGTCCAGTTTATGAAGAAATCCCTGAGTTTATACATAGCATCAAGTTCTTTTCTAACAAGGAGGAAAACTGACACAGCATGATGTTGTGTATTTCTTGGACTGCAAACTCTCATAATGATAATAATCTTCCACATTAATGGACAAAATAATGCTGTAAAATTCAACATCTATTGTGCTATGCTTTGCAGGGGTTTGAAACAGAAGAGTTCAAATTCAAAGCATCTGCAGGTAGATTGAGTCTATTTTCTTGGGGAGTGGGGAATACACTGGAGTAAAAAGCCATCATTCACCTTAGCCGGTCCCTTTCAGAAGTATGGAATGGGATCAAGACTTTAGACAACCTAATCAGAGAAGGAGTGGTGGGAAGACAGGAAACTGATAGCAGTGTGTAGGTATGTCTTCTAACAAGGGACTGTGGAATTGGTAACAGAGTGGTACCACTGTGACCCACACAAAGATGGCAGCACTTGTCTCACTTGGTTGATCACAGTCTGGTGGTTCTTGATTGCACACTTTGATATTTTCCTCCAGTTTGCACTTTAACATCGATTCACAGAAGTAGTGGCAAGCATCTTTACTCAGAAAGGTACCTAAAATCACTCTCCACGGGGCTGAGTGCTCCAAGGAAGTTGAAAGTGCCTTCATGTCCACTGAAGAACATTTTTACATCAATACCAACTCTAAGAAAGTGCAATTGTACCCGTCGGAGAGTTAGCCAAGCAACACTCCAACCTTCCATGGAAAAACTAAAAATACATAGCCTCTAATCATTTGGGCATTGGATTGTGGTAAGGTCCTGCCTTGTTCCTTAATTGAAGGCTCCTGCTCCCTGAAGAATTAATTCAGTCAGAATTACTCTACTTCTTCCTGATCCAGTGAATTCAAGGCCTTCTCCTGTAAAACAGAAAGAAAACTTACAATTCTTAAAGCAATGAGTACCCTTATCCTAATTGTGACTCTGCTGAGGCCAGTAGGATTTCCCGACCTCGCATGCTATTCCAGTGGTCACAGGCTGCACAGCTGCTGAATGTTTCCCTTCACTTCATGCAGCACAAAAGGACTAGGATCTCCAGTACAAATGCCTCCCAGCAAATCCAGGTAAACGAGCTATGAAGGGTCATTTTTGCAGCCCCACTGCTGGCAAAAGAGCACCTTGCACAACTGACTTTGAAAGAGGGGTATGAACAGAAGCAGATGCCTTTGTGTGCAGGGAAGGTGGAAGCATAGCACACCACCAGGGCAGACGGTATGAACTGCTGAACTACGATGCTGTCCCCAAAACCTGCCAAGACCACACTTCTAGGGAGAAGTACAGGATTAGGGCAAGCGTGAATTTTCCTGCTGTTTCCCCAAGCCTTCAGCTTTCATGATGGAGAGACTGCGTGCCAAGAATGGTGTTTTATACTTAACAACCCTCCACAAATGTCTCCTACTGATTTTTGGACCTATGTGAATAAAAAACCTGCAGCATAGAAAATGTCTTGTAATTCCACAGCTGGAGCACACGCTGTGTTAAAGACTATGCGGTTTGGTTTGGTAGTTCAGTGAAAGACTGCTACGTCAAGGTTCCTTTAGGCTATGCACAAGTCGAGGGAGGCAGTACGCATACCCAGCCACCCTGGTCCTGAATCCACGGCTTGAAGTGTTCTCGGAGGTACATTGATCCAAAGCCCAAGACCACGTTCATAGGATGGTTGTCCACAGTGGTAAGTCTGGTGGCAACTTCCATTGTAAGGGCAACTTTTGTGCATTGTACTTGCTCTCCCGGCTCACTGGTTGAATCTGCTGAGATATCCTCCAGGAATAGATCAGTGATCCTCTTGAAGAATGTGTAGGACAGCATGCCTTTAAAATGCTGATAGAAAGCCCTGTCGTTTTTGATCTGAAAGTGAGAATAGGGATTGGTTAAATTGAGCATCTTTTGCTGGAATTGCTTGCCCTATCTCATTGGTAATACGTGTGATATAGTCTAACTGTGGTGGTGAATGCAGGAGATGGCTCACAAATCCCACACCTTGCTGCAAAGCTGCTTCTTCAGGCTCTGGAGGTGGCTCTATGTTTTATCCTTAAAAAAAAATCTTCAGGTTTTTGCACTTAATCAGAGAAGCAGAGAGAGAGAAAGCAAAACGAGTGTGACATTGATGTTGAGACCTGCAGGTGAGGAGACATGGAAATAGAGGAGCAGTGGGAAGTTGACAGCACAGGCAAGGTTATGAGAAGCATGGCAACAGCGGCCATGTTAAGCTCCATTTCATCAGTTATGCTCTTTGTGATGCTTCTTACTGTACCTGGGTACCTCTCCGCTGCAGGAGCTGAGCATGCCCTCCACGTGGGAATGTATCTTTATAGAGCGGAAGGGGCAGCTAAAGAAGGGAGTAAAGGGAACAGGTACCTATACTCGGAAAAGAGAAAACATCCACTCCATCTAATGGACTCAGGCAGGAGTTCTTGTACAGCTTTTGGGCAGGTCTTTCAAAATG